CACTCAAAGAAGCGCCTTGGATCTGTGGAGCTTCACTCTGTTGCGGCGGTGGCTCGGAACAGGTGGCACGTTGAGGTCCAGGTCAACGGGCACCCTTTCGCCTTTAAAGGGATGGTGAACCGAAATTTGGATTTCAGAAAACAACACAGGAGCTGTAGGCGGGACGCTACAATCCCTACAGCATTACTCGTAAGGCGCTATCTCAAATCGACGGCCGTATTTTGAAAAAAAGAAAAAGGCAAGATAAAACAAGGTCGACGAGGCACGTGACGTCAAAATATCTCGTTTCCTTCTCTCTTCGTTTCGCCCCCTGAAGGTGGCGAGGCGGAGAAGACGCAAGGCCGTTCCCTCTCCCTCTCAGAGAAACAAGACGTGAACATATCTGTCAAATGCGCCTCCTTTTTCTGAAAAATACGGTCATACGTTCGATATATCATTGTCTGAGTGATGTTTTGATGTTTGTAGCATCCCGTTGCACGCTTTTGCTGCCGTGCTTTGTGGAATCCAAATTTCGGTTTAGCATCCCTTTAAGGTAGACTCTGGCACCGACGTTTCTGTGGTTCCGCATTTGTTTCCTGGCTGCCCAGCCGTCGTCCACAAGCAGTGTGGCGAGGAATTTTTAGTACCGGCTAAACAATCCCTGAAGCTTCTCAGCACCTTTTCTGCGGCACTGTCCGGAGAGTCAGACACGTCAACAAGCACCTCTACGGCGCTGCAGGACAAGAGCTGCTCCTTCTTCTTGGCTATCCCACCATTGTCGCCCTTGGCGTTGTCAAGTTTGTCGGTGCAGTCACACCGGCTCGGACCGCTGCTCTACCGAACACAACACCTCCGGAAGTCCCTCCAGCCCTTTTCGCCTGCCTGGGCACGTTCCTGGACGAGTATACAATCCGCATCAAGCCTGACACAGTACAGTATTCCATCAACACAGCCCGGCGTATCTGGACATCCCTACGAGACATAGTCAAGAATGAGCTTGACAAGATGGAGCAAGAGGGTGTGATCCGACGCGTTGACGAACCGATGGACTGGTGTGCAGGCCTTGTCGTCGTACCGAAGCCAGCGGGGGGTTACCGCCTTTGCGTAGATTTGACCAAACTCAACCAGGTCGTTCTGCGTGAGCGCCCCATACTACCAACTGTCGACCGAAGTGGGATGCAACTTCAGGCTTCCACCAAGTCCGCTTGGCCTGTGACTCCCAGAAGTATACGACCTTCATCACTCCGTTTGGCGGTACTGCTATAATATGGGCATGGGTTTGGCCAAAGTGACAGTTATCTACGAGCTTCTGGAGTACCATGACACGGTCATTGACAGACAAACTTTTGTCTTTTCTTGGAAACGTATGCAATGATGGGAGTGTTGTGCCATTTGCACCAAATTGCGCCATGATGGGAAGTTTGCTACATCTTGCGCCGAAATGCCATTTTTGCTAAGAATTGCGCCACACTTGTGCCAAGATACGCTTAAAGCAAAAAAAAAAAAAGATTATTATTGGTCGACTCTATTATTTAGAGAGGTAGAAGGAAAGAAACATTTTACAAGTATTAATTTCACAGCATCTACGTGTATAGTTTGTTTCCTCTTAGATCAGAGTCCAGCCGAAGGCTCGAACACATACTACCACAAGCACACATGCTAAAAGTGGAAGTCACGGTACATTCACTTTATTTGACTGGTTTAGCCAATCAAATGAAGCACACCAACTTCAGTGTTTCAGCCTGTTCCATTTTACAAGTTGGGACACCTTTAGCGATGCGGGCAAGATATTGGACGCTGTGCGACACAGCTGATGCAAGCACAACAATATCACTTTATAAACTAAAATGGAAAATTGTGAAGCATAAAATTTTATTGCTTAGGTTGGTTCCCAGAATTACCAATATAACCTTTGAATTCTAAGAGGAAAAAAAAGATTGCACTAACTCGGTTGCGCTGCTGTACATTGCATACAATTTAAGCCGCAGAGTGCCCGCACAATTAAAAAAAAAAAGTATGCCATAGGACATAAATGTGTAACAAAAATTGGGGTCGCATTAATCAGCTTTTGAACCATGGGTCTAGATTGGTACCTTGTGCTCTGTTTAAAAGATGTGACTGCAGCATATATTGTGTTATTTAAGGTGGAGCTTGTGACAGAAGCCGCAGAGGATGCTGTGGTCGTGGCTGCAGCGGCTGAAGAGGCCCCTGGAGCTGCTGAAGAGAGCGAGGAGGAGAATGACCTGCCGTCCCAAAGGGTTAGGCTGCCCAATAGTAGTGGTGCTACCTCTCAGCCTGCCAAGCACTGCAAGCGTAAGAGGGATGGGCCGTCAGTGGCTATGCAACTTTTGCAGCTCCACAAACAAACGGATGAGCGTTGTGCAAAGCTGGCTAAAAAAGAGCTCAAATACACAAGGCGCGCTCTTCGTCTACAGGAAGAGTCAAATGAAATGCAAAGGGAGATGGTAGCTATGATGGCTGACTACTTTAAAAAAAAAAATCAAGCCGAATAGTGTATCTATTGTTTTTATTCCTATGTTACTTCCATCCTGCCCTATGATTGACTACAGTTAAAGCTACGGGTCATTGGGTACAATCACAAGACAGTTAAGAATAATGTTGCATATTTCTCTAGAGTGTGTTTCTTTGTGGGAATGTACAGGTGATGCCAGAATAAAACGGAACAGCAGAGAGGCAGCTGAACTGCATTGAAGTGCTGCCTATCAGCACTGGCTAGAACACAAAGGTACACTCTGCGCATGCACACGTGCCATCCACGATGGCCTCCGTCTTTTCTTTTTCAGTCCTCGCATTATCGGTGGCTTGAGCGTGATGAAACGCTTTTCGGAAGAACTCCGCCTGGTGCTCTGCTTTCAGGGGGCAATAACGCTGATCGCACCGTGGAGTGGACGGAGATGTCGTGCTGTTCAAGAGCGTCTCACTTTTCACTATCACGCGAAACCAAGCTTCGCTTGTCAGTACACGAGCAAAGCCAAAATTTCAATGTGAGAAAGCAAAACATTAAAATAAAACACAATATGAAAAGGGCCCTCCCTTGCTGCGAGGAATACGTTCAGTTGCATTTATGGAAGACGCATTGTGTATGGTTTGTTGTAAACCATATCGTCGCCTTAGAGGGGAATACGGCACCACATCGCCCGTTGACACGGCATCTTTCGTGTGCATGGAGGATTGAGATATGTGCCACCTATCAGTAATTTGAATTTGTGTTCTGGGACAAATAGCCTTACATAAAATGGGCGCCTCCAAATGCTTTCACCTCACAAGGCGAGACGCACGTTGACAATGCGAAATCACCCTTCACTGCGAGTTGTGATTATGATTATCACTTGTGAGAGCAGTGCACCTGGCGGTACCTCTTACAACAGCTTTCCGTTGCACTAGAGCTGCCGATAATGTGAGGAGTGACAAAGGAAAGACTGAGGCTAGTGCGAATAGCACATGCGCATGCGCAGAGAGCGCCTTTGTGTTCCAGCTGGCGCTCATAGGTAGCACGTCAATGTAGTTCAGCTACCGTTCCGCTGTTCCATTTTTTTTCTAGCATTGTCGGTACATTTGCGCTCGTCCCCTCCCATCGATGCCTCTCACTACCCGGCCCTCACATTGGAGTAATCTGTTAGAGGATATCTAACTGGCTCGTGACTGGGCCTAATGCCCTATATCTTTGGCAGTAGTCAATCATTGGACGAGACAAAGTTTAGACCTTTCCGTTCACTTCGTTGTTCTTCTGCTGCACCCCGAGGGTTGGTGTTCCTATGTTTAATTCCAATGAGCTCACATGTGTTGTTACTTTTTTTGTTTTTTAATCATGCTGCAAATGTTCTTGAGCACTCTCTATATATATAAGCACATTTGGGCATTTGTACACATAACCAACACGGCACCTGGCACCAGTGAAGGACCGAGGATTAATTTAGATTAGCTGAGGATCTTTTGACGTACAAACAAAAGCTCAGGTGCACAGTGCCTTCTCTGCAATAAGCCTCCATCATATTGCGGAGCCCCCACCATTTGTCAGTGATTGCTGTGACGTACAACTCTACTAGGGTTTAAAACGGCAGTTTCCAGACCAGATGCATGAAAGTACTGTGTTATTAACATTGAAACTGTGATATTTTTGTGTACTTATTATGTCTGTGATACAACAATGTAGTGAAAAAAAGCAGTGAGTTGAAAACAATGAAAATTGCAGTATCAAGTCTTTCATGCTATTCAATGTAGGCAGGGTATCCGGCATGCCGTTGTGAAGGACTGTGGATTTTTATTCCGTTTCAGGATCTTTATTGTGATACTAAAATGCAAGTTAGCCAGTTATGCCACAAAAATAATTGACACTATGTCCCAAGTGGAAATTGTCACCAAAGCAATAATAAAGCCTGTATTTTATGTGGAACACCTGTGCACACAGACGTTTATATTTAACACTTGCGTATATTAACCTTCCTAGTCCTCTGAAGGTAGAAGATAATATTTTGTGTACGCAGCATTTTGAGGACCCAGCAATTGCAATACCACTATTCTTCCAAATGTTTGTTTCTATCACAATACCTATTATTATGCAGGCCACACTGTCGAGAAGTAAGGTACAAAGTGTGTTTCTGTTTTAGTCGAGCTACATCACAGGTTATCTTGATGGTAACTATTATATTTTCAGTTCCATAGTCTGCGTGCTTATTGCGCGAGATCAGAAATGTTTTGTATTGTGCACCATGGTACTGTTGTGAGCAATATGAAAGAGAACACAGGAGCGCATGCCAAATAGCCTGTAACTCTATTTGTGGCGTTATGCGGCAGCGGCTCCTTGAAAGGTGGAGAAAGCGGCATGGTCCTGGTCACTACACTGCTCCATTCTCTTTCCAGACCGCCACGACATATCGCCACAATTAGGGTTCCAAGTAATTTGCCACGCGCTCCCGTGTTCTTGTTCATGTTGCTCCCGATGGCCTTTGTGTTATGTGAATGTTCAGTGCAAAATATGGGCTGGTGCAATATAAATATTTTTACTGCATTTGTGCATTAGAAGCTGGATTAGCAATATCTGGAGGTTTTGATTTTATGAAATGAGAAAGTAATCAATATTTGTGTTTCACTTCTGTACTTTCCTCATTTTCTGTCACATAATAAAAATGTTTGATCACCCAAATGCTCCGAGCTGGTGTGTGCTAGCCCACTCGGCCACCAATCCCCCCAACAAGATGTAAATAATATCTGTAAAGTGCACTTGCCCGCCGACTGACGATGAAAGAAAAGACGAGTCCTGTTGATATCGAGACCGTAACTTAAGCATGGGCTATATACGAAGGGATTATATGCAACGATTTCTTGCAGCCCCAGCTCCAACACTAAACCAGATGACTCAAGAGAACACCAGACGAGCAGACCTAATGTCAAACTGCCATGGATAGAGCTTGTAGATACGCCAGCTGAACGGAGGGAAGAAAAATGCAAAACAGAGTCGCAAGGAACATGCACACGCACTCCGCTGGACTAACAACCATTTACTGAATACCATCTTTTTCTTCGTCGACTTACATTTAATGGATAACTTCTTCTTCTTCGTCGATTTTAATTATTGCCTATATGAAATATTTGTCCCTCGTCTTCATCACATCAGTTTGAAAAACCTTGCATCCCCAGAGATAACGTCTCCAGTGGGCTCATGCCGGCTATTTTAAACACGGGGTGTTTCCTGCAAATACTTCTTTTCTTTTGCATGTACCACAATGGAGACAGTGCTTACGCAATCTCCCTTCTTCTCCTCAATGGCTAGGGATTCTAGAATTTCCCTTGCAATCTGTTTTTTGTGTCTAGCCATGATGATGTTTGAGAAAAAGGGGGCACATTGGCATTTATATGGAGATATTGAAGATCGGCAAATGTTTTGGGACCAGTTTCCGACTTCGGTTCACTTCTACCCAATCCTGCACCCAGTCGACAAGTTTAGATATTTGAACATGTATTTAGCTGGTAAAGCCGAGAAAAGTAATTTGTGTATCAAATGACACCTATGATGTTGCCTGTTAGCTACTAAAGGAAAGGTCCAGTCAACCCACCCTGATGCGCAGTGACCAGGGCTATGCACCTTGCACTTGAGAGTGATCAATCGACCCATGTAACCTTTTTTGTGCTCTTTTTGAAAGATTTTCGTAGATCTTTTTGAAAAGCCTGCCGACTAACAATGAAGATAATGACTGACGTCGGGTATCAAGGAAATGGAGTAGATTATCACTCCAGAGTATACCGAATTTAATCCGGATGCCCCACCAAACCCCGATATATTTGCTTTGCAAGTATTGTACATACACCCTTTCTTACTTCGCGAACGATTTATCAGAGGGGCCATGCCACGTTTTTCCCACTTTCACTAAATACTTTTTAAAACAAGTTTGTGAGATTCATAATGGTCGAAAATCACCCAAGCTTTCCTCTACACGAAACGAACAGCATTCACTTTTTCTACTTGCTGCCACAACGAGCGGTAGTGTGACCTGGAGCTGGTTTTGTGCCACCAATGTTCGTTGTAGCCAGACACTACGGTTGGCAATGTGGAGGACATACGCTGTGCCGAGGAATAGATCATTCTCGAGCAAAAGCCGAATGAAGATGCAGGGCTCGTGTCCAATACACGAGTTGCATTACGCTGAAGCGCTCGAGGGGTCGCCCTTTTGATTGTCGTATCTATAATCCCCATAACTACTTCAATGAGCTTCACAGAGGCAAGAAAGAAAGAAATAGTCTGCTTTTACTCTTGAAATTACATGGCAGTAGTGAAACTTGTGGCTCGGTAGTGCTACATACGAGCATAGCTTTGTTGCTCCTGTGTCTATGCTTGTTTTAAGCGCATACAGTTTGAACTTAAAATTGTTGCTTGCCCCATTCAGATGCATCTTCAAAATTTTAATAATTCATGCATGTCCACTTAGATTCTGAGGAAAGAACTAAATACTAGGTAAGCCAAACATTTTCGGAGAAACATTGCTAGTAAACCAGCCTCTCATTTATATGTCCAATTTGCCCTCCTTGGTATGCACTCGTGAGCGCACACTCATACCTCATATAGAACATAGCTTTATTTGAAGAAAATACATTTTTGAATGAACAATAGCAAGCCGGTGAAAGCCTCAAGGGCTTGTGGACCTGGCTCGGCAGGTGACGATACAAAAGAAGAAGACATTGTAGTAATCTACGTTCCAAAAAAGTGGAAAGAGTTACTTGACTTCCAAAATTTACATGTTCCCGGAATCACAAAATCAATTTGTGGGGCTAGAGAAAAAAAAAATTCTTGGTACACATGAAAAAAAAGCTTCACCTCAGAGCTCCAAATTCTTTAATGCTTTCCTGAGCTTTTGCCTCGAAGTTGTGGATTGAAAGGATACCGCTAGGCTATTAAATATTTGTGGAATGTAATACACTTACGCGCGCTCACCATACTTTGTTTTGATCCGCGGCCTATATGCTAAGTAACAGTGTCCCAGGTTACGTGGTAAGAACCTACGGTGACTTAAGCCTCAGAATATGCTCAGCAAGTGCCTCACGCACTTGTCCTCCAGAAGCACTTGCTCTATTTGTCACTCTAGCTGGTTGTGGGCGGCTTCTGTCATCCTCTGCCATACCGTCGTACCAATGTGCGCAGCATCTGTCCTGCATGTCCTCACAGATGTTGTGGAGTACGACGCAGGTTCGCACGATCTTGTTGGCATTTTCAATGGAGCATTCCAGGCCCTTGTGCACTATTCGGTAACGAGCCTTCATCCTTCCAAAGGCATTTTCAACTACTCGGCGGGCACCCGACAAACAACTATTGAAGGCCTGCTGCTTTTCGTCAACTGCTGAACTGTATGGGAAGGGCTTCATCAGGTGCGTGTCTAAAGGAAACGCCTGATCACACAGGATGATGGGACCCACGTCACAACCAGCAATCTGCTTGGTTCCGACCCTGAAGAGGTCGCTCGCTATTAATGCTGGCAGCATCGACTTGCGAAACACTGCGGAATCGTGGTTGCGTCCAGGTGATCCAACATTAACGTATAAAAACCTGTAATTGTGGTCGACGACTGCCAGGAGGATCATGCTGTACCAGCCCTTGTAATTGTGGTAGTCGGCTGCATATTCTTTTGGAGGGCATATTTCTATGTGACAACCGTCCAGTGCTCCGACTCCTTGTGGAAATCCGGTGACTGCAGTAAAACGCTGCATATGGTCTTCCAGTTGATCTGGCTTGGGGAATCTGACGAAGCGTGGCTCCAGCTCGCTGAGGATGACGTCGCAAAACTCTCTGAATATCATGCTTACAGACGAGCGGCTCACTCCGAAAAGGTTCCCAACGGTCCTATCTTCCGCAGAGGTAGCCAACCTATACATCCCAATGGCGACACGTTTGTGCAGCGGTATTGCTCGTCGCATGTTCGTGTCTTCCCGCTGCATTCTCGAGCACGCGCTCACGACGTACGAGAATGTCGCTCGTGAGACATGAAAGTTCGCCTTGAAGAAAGACTCCGGTAGGCTGGGAAGAGTGGTCTCATACCAAGAGGATGGTCGTGGGTACTCCCACACTTCTCTCTCGCGAGTCGCCGACAGCACCAGGAGTCTAATCTCGTCACATCTTTCCTCCGCGCGCTTCCTTTTTCGTCTTGCGTTGTCGATCTCCGCACGGACATGTGCCAACTCCAACTTTCGTTGAGCGAGTGTCGTCTGCAGCTGGGCGAAAGCGATCCAAAACTCGCCGTCGTCTTCGTCGCGCAAGGCAGGGTTCCTTGGTCGGCTGAGAGCCATACCGTCCTATTGATCCCCTCCGCAGTGTAAATATAGACGTAAATATAAGCTAATATTTAAATACAAAACAAGAAACATCGGGAACGAGGGAAAAAGTCGAGCGCCAAGCGAGGGAAAAAGTCGAGCATCAAGCGAAGAAACACGAATAGACATAGTTGTCCCCTTCTTAGTTTGAAACAGGCTGTGTGTAGCGCCATCTATACTATTGGGCTCAGACTAAACACAATGTTTTGGGGAGAGTTTCAGATTTCACTGTCTGCGTTGGTCTCGACCTCGTTCGTTTCCAGTTCCACTTTGAAACAAGCTTTTGTAATATTGTTTGCAATTTAAGCTCGCAAATACAATAAAATAGTGTGTTGACACTTTTTCATTTTGTAATACAGTCTTATCTTTCAAAATATGTTTTTATTTCGTGTGGGTCACGTGACGTGTATCCCAACTGGGTTCGGGAAGCCTATCAACGTGTAGCGCCGGACAACTCAGTTGGGTTGAATGACAGTTGAAAAGTTCTAACTGCCATTGACTCAATGACAGTTGAGAGCGCCCGTGTAACTAGGGTATTAGACTCCCAGGACTAGACGCACCGGATAAAGCGAAAGGGAGACATTACGCTTGTTAGCCTGTTCGGTCGAGCAGCCAAGCCAGTCCAGTAGTAATGGGCGAGGTCACTGATCTCTGGCGCGGGGATGAGAGCAGGCTGTGACCTCCACCTAAATTTCGTCCAAGGGCGTAAATATTGCGCAAAAAAGATTGGTTTCCTAAAACAGTTATTAAAGAAAGAAGTGTCTCATTTACGCCTTTTGTAAGAAAAACGTTTTTTGTTGCAGTGTCCGTTTTGTAAGGCTTGGCTTAAGCATCCTCCATTAATTTTTGGTAGTCATTCGCCGACCCAAGATTTTCAGTAAGTGCAGCCGACTTTTTTTAACTATAGTCGGTGACAGGTTAAGAAAGAAGTGGAAGCTCCTCCCACCTCTTTCCACTTTAGCAGAGCGAACGTTAGGGAGGAGGCGACATCCTACCCAGCGCTCGCTCTGCTACAGTGGAAAGAGGTTGGTGGAGCTTCCACTTCCTTCTTGACCTGTCACCGACTATAGTAGGACCAAGATTAAGTTCGACATCCCCAGAAAACGACGACAATGCGTCGAGAAAAATAAGGCAGCTATCTTGAGATACCGAAAGCGAATAATTGAATGCAGAAACAGAAAGGTTAAAAAAAAGGGTTAGTAAGCTCCTTTCTGTCGATGGGACACACCTCAAATAGCAATA